ATTTCTCGGACATTCAGGCCGGTAAATGTTGTTTAATGCTGTTTATTATAAACAGAACATCTACTTAAATATTTGTATCTATAAAAAGAATGTATAAACGTAAAAACATATATCTACCTTTTAGATACTGGTCTAAACCACATCTATATGTAGCTTTTTGAATCTTCAACAAACATAATCTATGTATACAATTTTGACACTTGCAAAACAAGTTTATATCTTCCAACTGTAAACCAAACCGATGTTTACTGTTTTAACTCTCGTGCAAACCAAACTTATATTTACTTTTTGATTCTTGTCCTATGTTCACCAAATCAAAATTACTTATCAAAAACTAACAGCCATACGCAGCTGGTCGATCAGAAAAAGCGTTCAATTAGAATGGAGCAAAAACTGCACCATGTTTAGATGTAAAAGTGTCTATATTCTTTGATTACTTTAAAGTACTTTCATTAAAAAACATTTTGAATTAATGCAGTTACTGATATAACAGAAGTAGTCTGTATTTATTCAATCGAAGTTAGCCGAGTACATGAAGGGGTAAAACAGGCAACATGAAGACCCTCTTTAGACCGCAATTATTTTTGAGATTTGAAATTCAATTTGTCAATGTGCTACCAGGGATGTAAAAGAGGATACATTTATAAAGCAATTAAGTTTGATGAAAATTGGTTGAAAGATCAACGAATAATAAGAAAAAAAACTAAAAATTTCCATTTTTCGCTATTTATGTGGGTTTTCCCAATATGGGTAGGCTGAATTATCAAGTTAAATGACTGTTAAACAATCAAATTATTGTTGGCTACAATTGAGAGAAGCTTGTATTTGATTGCTTGAAAATTGAAAGAGAATTTAGTTTTAATTTGTGTTAAAATCGATTTTTCGTTTATCGCGTTTTTTCGCTGAACTCAGTGGCGTAGAAATAAAAATGAGGTATCGTTTATTTCGTCATGATGTAAGTAACCTACATACCGAGTTTGAACGAAATCGGAGGAAAAAGTTGAATTTTCGATTTTTGATCGGCTTTATTGATTATTGATTTTTTTAAATTATCGATTTTTTACGCTAAGAATCTATCTTTAACGTTGAACAATGTATGTTCCAAATTTGATCAAAATCAGTTGGATGGATCTCGAATGAAAATGTATCACAGAAACAGACACCCAGACACACAGATTTCCTCTGTTTTCTACATATAGACAACAGAATTTGGTATTAAATAATCTGGAAAATGTTGCTCCGCCGTAAAACAAAATAGCCCAAACCAAGCAAAAGATAGTCATGGCTGCCGTAATGAAATGACATATCTCATATTCGATAACCCGGAGTAAATGCGAATCACGTGATCAAATATGTAATGGTCACCATATCTTAATAAGCATTGGCCAGTTAATATCTGTATGTATACAACCAGTATAACATTCACCGAGGAATTTGCTTACAGGATTCTTTAATTTCCTGTTTATCAAGCACCTACTGATGCGAATGAAGGAGCTGGAAGACGATTTGAAATAAGGAAGTTTTTTTTTTCACTTGTTCAACTTCTCTGTCATGTTACCTTCCGCGACTGAATAATGCAAGGGTAATTTTCAACGTAAAAACGGCGAATTTCGATGTTTATTTTATTGTTCTTATTCGTTTTCTACTATTACTACCACTTCTACTACTACCACTAATACTGTTTGTGAACCACAGCATGTATTATAACACTGGTGAGTGTCCATCAAACCCCATTTTGTTACGCATGCGCATGAAGACCAAACTCTGAATTAAGTTTCATTTATAGCGTACAAGCCGATTTTTTTTAGATATTTATTTCGAAATGATGTCAGATAAATGACTAACTGCTATTCGATGACCATATCCTGCTGTTCACAAAAGATGGTTATAACTGATATATCGATAAGACGGTTATTATATTTCCTTGTATTTATAATTCGCATATATTTTTGTTGCTACCGTTTTTCAATTCAGACTACGCTAATGATTTGATGTAATGAAAAGATATTATTGATCATAATCAAGCATTTATTCGCTTTATGCATAGTTCGTCAACATAAATATATATTTATTCATTTTGAAAGAAAACATTTGGATGGATTTTCTTTGCTGATAATAATGATTTAAAATTTTGTTCTCTGTTATTGCCAAGAATTTGTTAAACATTTTTAAGATAAATGCTATAAATACCAGTATCAGCATTTTTCAACTATAATGAAATCAAAGTGCCTTGTTAATAAATTATTATTGTTGTTGTTGTTGTTGTTGTTATTATTATTATTAACAATAATAATAATAATAATAATAATAATAATAATAATTGGTATGAAAACCAAGCAGACCCGGTTACGGAGATAGGACCTGTAACAATTTTATGGGACTACACAATACACACAGACAGAACAATTAAAGTTATTAGAGACCGCCAACAAAACAATTGTCTCCTTATTAGTATGGCAGTCCCTGCAGACCGCAATGCATCTTTGCAGTCGAAATCTCAAAAGTGTGGCTCATGAGAACATCAACAATCCCTGTTGTAGCTGGAGCCCTGGGACTGGTTGGAAAAGATTCCAATAAACTTACTGTAGGCATTCCTGGTAGCCCATGCCTTATAGAAGTACGAAAAAATGTTCTCACTAATATATTTCACACATGACGTAGAGCTTTATCTATGTAAAATATGTATCTTTTTTGTTTTTTCGAATGCTCAGTGGAAACCTTAGGTTTCTCGGTGGGACCCGGAAATAAATGTGTACACACCAGACATCAAAAGAAATATAATAATAAGGAAATAAAACAATAATAATAATAATGATAATAATAATAATAATAATAATAGCCATGAAGAAGAAGAAGATGCTTGGTCATTGATTTAGACATTTCGACGCTCCACAAGGCTGAAGACTGAGAAATCTCTAAACGAAGCCAGTCAGTTTCATTTTTCACAACTTCCTCGCGTTGTTGAATGGTGAATTTCAGTCACGCTTGCAGCTAACGGAATAGACTAAACGGATCCTGAAGTGATAAGAAAAAGTCTTAGTGGAATAGAAATCAAGAGAAAAGTCGAGAACAACTCGTCGATATCATTATTGCAAACAACCAGAATATGTTACAATACTGACAAAATTTACTGTCATTTAATCACTAGTATCAACCACCACTTAATATTATGCGAGCAATCGGTTATGGACAGTAACAACAACTACTTCTAGTAATAATAATAATAAATGCTCGGATCCTACAATAGGCATATCTTTCGTGGTTCCTCGTATTTATTGTAGGTGTTAACATATAAATGAATTGTCACAGTGAAATAAAATAAGCTACAGAGACCATCCTGTTTATTACGACAGATTTGCTTCACATTTGTCCGATTATAATCAGCAGGGTAGATACCGTAGGGGATGACACTGTGTATCTCAGTTCATAAACAGTAGAGAAGGATCATCCTGGCCAGGTATCGAGAGATTTCTTTTATCATTGAAGGTTAGGTTAGCTAAGGTGACTTGTGAGTCAAATCTATAAACGTGGTCACACATGCAACTGGAGAATGTCAGAGTGGCCTG